CAAAACTGAACAAAGTCATACACAAACATAACGTACATTCCAAATTTAGAGATACAGAACTAATGATCACTAGTGAAACAATGTAAGACACACATGACAACTCAACCTAACCCAACCCAGAATTTCACCGAAATATATGTTAACTACAGACATCATAACCCAACCTTACCCGACCCGGAGATATAGGCCGGTTAAACAGTAGTCAGACACTACTAGAAACACAGACAACCCAACCTCACCCGGCTCACACATTTACTGATAAATATTGACTACAGACATGGCAACCTAACCTTACCCAACCCAGAGATACAGACCTGTTAAACAGTAGTCAGACACTACTAGAAACACAGAAAACCCAACTTCACCCAACCCAGACATTTACTGATAAATGTTGACTACAGACAGGACAACCCAACCTTACCCGACCTAGAGATACAGACCTATTAAACAGTAGTCAGACACTACTAGACACACACGGCAACCCAACCTTACCCGACCCAGAGATATAGACCTATTAAACAGTAGTCAGACACTACTAGACACACACGGCAACCCAACCTCACCCGGCTCACACATTTACTGATAAATTTATTTACATTTACTGACTACAGACATGGCAACCCAACCTTACGCGACCCAGAGATATAGACCTATTAAACAGTAGTCAGACACTACTAGACACACACGGCAACCCAACCTCACCCGGCTCACACATTTACTGATAAATTTATTTACATTTACTGACTACAGACATGGCAACCCAACCTTACCCGACCCAGAGATACAGACCTATTAAACAGTAGTCAGACACTACTAGACACACACGACAACCCAACCTCACCCGACCGAGAGATTACGATCTATAGAGAAGACGACTCAACCGAACCTTACCTGACGGACAGAACTAGAATTCCTCATCAGTAATGAGACACAGCAAGCAGCATAAGCAATAAGTTGACAGTACGTGACTTTTATCGAACTCCTAAGGAGTTACTATTTGCTAGCCTCTCAGGTGTGAATATTTTCTGCTAAAATGAATTTTTTTAAAAAATTAGCATTTGATAAAAGATGTGTGTGAAAATTTGTACGCTATTATTATATTATTCATTTTTCCTTTCAATCAAGTTTTATTGACAAACTTATATTACACATGTCTGATGAGCCAAGAGACGAGCGCCTGAGAGAGTGATTTTTTTTGTTGATGACTCGAATCTCAGAATAATTCTGTTCACTACAAACTGTCCGAACACCTATATGATAATGATCTTTATAAACGTCTTGAATCGGACTTTTTTGAAAAACGTCCTAGAAATGTCTTCATAAACAAACTATGGCTTAAAGTAAGACGTTTTTCGACAAAGACACATAGGATAAGTATTGGTTTTTTACAGTACGTTGCGTAGCATCTTCCCTTTAATATAATTAGTGACAGTCAAATTTAATTTATAATTTTGGTCTGGTGAAACGGTATTTAGAAATATAGCTTTCGAACTGTCTTATTCTGTATATATATTGTGTACAAAATAAAAAATTGAGAATATTAGAAAATAAAAGTAGAAAGACTGTTACTTTATAATATTAGATTTTACAATACAAATGAACATCAGGTAAAAAAATTGTAAATATCCTTTTTTCTAAACTAGTTTTTTCCTTATAGTTTAAATCCGATCACGACTATGCTAATCGTTTGCCTTCTGACAATTGGGAGTTGTTTACCTGCTAAAGTTATCAGTGCAGAAAAGCGTAGTAAGTTATTTCAAACAACATTATCGTAAATCTTATTACCTGCATTCCTGTTTTGAACTAGCAACGTCATTTGCTTGTCCAGTTGGTTTTCTGTTCGAACAAAATCAAAATCAATGCAAACTGGTTCAAGATAATCAATGTTCAACAAGCTGGGCTGTGGCCGCACATAATTGTCTTCAACGTCAAGCCTATTTAGGTGCCAGTGATAGGGATATGTTCTATACAATTGCACATAAAATAAATGATGAAAATGGGAAAAATATGAAAGATCGATTACGTCGGCAACAATTTCGACCATCAAATGATAGTTTGTCGTTATCAAGAGCATCAAGCATTTGCGCAATATCACGAAAAAGTGGTGAAGAACGAATTAATTGTTGTGTCAACACGATAACAACAGGTTGTGTTAGTTATGTTTGTATTAAAAGTGATTGCGACACTGACAGTTGTAAATCAGTAATGGCACACCAAAATGCTATTGTTAAAAATTGTAATGGTGTTCAAATTTCTGCTGTAAAAGCCCAAGCACCATTCATAATAATCATGCCAATAATATTCACAACAACATTGATATTAATAATAACAATATTGATCGTTTAAACAGATGTAATTACTTTTTTTGTTGGTTTGTACGACGTCGATTTATTTATGATTCGTGGTTTTGACAGTATGCATGTGCTTCAAAGCGATCGTTATTATGTAATAATCTCTTTTTAAAACTAACGATATATTTTTGTTTATAAATTATTAACTTTCACTCATTCTTTTAAGTCTGAAGTCTATTATCCTTTTAAAAAAAGCGTATTTCACAAATCCAAAGGTTTTTTCTCCGAATCCTTTTAGCTTAGCAAAAGCTGTTTCGATTTTCCTAGAATCGTAGGATTTTTTAGTATGTGTAAAGAGCCAAAATGGTTTATGAAAATGTTTTTAGTAACATGTAGAGAGAGTGTTTTAAAGAAAAGTAAATCAAACATCTTATTAAAGAACAGATTGAATGCCACAGATAATCTCCTAAGTTTTTCTAATGGAATTCTAGTTCTTATTTGTCTCATAATTTTATAAAACTAATTTCGTAGGTAAAAGTATAGTGCTCTTGTTCTGAAATAC